TGTCTGCACATATGTATTGTACGTTCCTATTGTCTTGCATTTCATTGGATCCAACCCAAAACAAAAGTTGCGCGGCGATACCTGCGCGAAGACTCAGTTTTTCGCTGAGTGGACCTACTGATTATACTGTGGCTCGACGCTCCCATGTAAAGGCACCTTTAGGAAAGCAAAGTTACTTTTAATGATTTGTAATTATTTTTACAGTGTTAAACGTTTCTATTTTAACGTAAAAGCATACGTAAATATGTCGAAGAAATACACTTTTATCGAAATATAACTACAATTTAAATACTTTTTCCTGTCAAGTGTATAACTGGTATGAACTTTGTAGCTGTTACGAAAGCATGACAAGCATGATAAATAGTAATTTTATATTAACCTCAAGAACAGTTTGCTCCAGACAAAGCGGTGAGATTATTAACAAATAATGTATTTTATATGGTGGATAGAATGTGAAGAATATTTGATAATTGATGCAGATTAAAGCTAGATTAACGATATTTCCATATAAACAGACTATGGCAGAGAAAGGTGCTCATTTGACTGGAACTGTGTATATCAGGCCTTCTATCTTCGAAATTATTGCACAGGAATCGCTTGCATCCACTCTCGAACCGGCTTTTAAAAAGATTTTTTCGGTATATGTATTGTGTTATTTGAAACGTTTCTTATAATGCCATGTTTGTATATGCTACTTTTTACAGAATTTAATTCATTTAGTAAATGCACAGTTTTTCTTGAAACATATTGACCCAATTTTTAGATATTACTACTTTACATTAGATATTACTACTTTAAATGAATTACAGATATATTTTTTAAATATTTTTGTATCAATTGTAAGAAATAATATATAGAAAAATATGTTGTATGCTGAAGGAAATAAATTATCTATCTATATAGAAAAATATGATAAAAGAAAATTAATTATATTTTATTAAAGATTTTTTTAGAAAAAAATATACTTTATATATAACTTTTGTTTATAAAACTTTGTTTATAAAATCAATCAATATATTATCAATCATTATCAATATATTATATTAAAAAAATGTTGATTATCTGACATGTATAATATAAATTATATTTATATTATATTTTGAATCATGTCTTTAATAATTTTAGTTTCTTGTATCTTTTAATCCTGAAAGATATGGATATATTCTTGAATGGGTAGATGAAGGTTATTTAATTTTTAATGTACTTCTTCAACGATATTACCTAAGAAAATATTGTAAGTCTTCCTAATATACAATATATACTTTTGTATAACTTATTGATATATTTTTTCGAAAAAATAAAATATATCTTTATATATACATTATTTTCAGCTGCATCGTTTTCAGAAACATTTTATGGTTTGAAGCGTGTCACAGTAGTAAATTCTAAGTTACAAGAAGAACTATCACATAAACAACAAATACTATCGTTAATATTAATAGTGATACTTCCATATTTAAAGAATAAACTTATGCAACTTAATTCAAAATATAAACTTCAAGAAATAAACGGTTGTACATTAAGAGAGGCAAGTTAAAAAGAACCATCATTTTTAAATATATACAGGGTGGATATTAAAAAGATATAAAAGATGTAAAAGATTTCAAGGAATGATTCCTTATACAAATTCAAGATGAAAACTTTATATAACCATATGTTTGAAACAGCTTAATTTTAAAGATAGAGTGTCAAAGTTGAAGGAAAAATTTCGCTTTTTCCTAAAAATTTCAAAAACTATTTTAATGAAGTTTTATGTATGTATCAAGTTTCATCGAAATATGAATGGTTTTCAAAATTTTTGGAAAAAAGTTTAAATCTTTTATATTACTTATTGTTAGTATTCACCCTTTGTATGTATATGTGTAAAATATATATATATTTTTTGTTGTTGTTGCAATAACTTATTAATATATTAAATATTTTTGATACAGAGGAGGCAACAGCTTTTCCGTAAATGTGTCATTAAAGGACATTCAATTCTTTTTATAACATATGAAACTCTCATGCTATATAATTACATACTTTATGTATCTGAGAAATCAATGTATCCATCACTCTTACTAAGGCTACTATCTGTTACATTGACGTATGCTGATCCACAATCTGCTCTCACTATCAGCGAATTATTAAGGAAAATAAAATATAATTCATTCACTGTTGATGATGGGTGGAATATATTTCAAAGAATTGTTACTGGATCTCTTGAATTAGGAGCTTTTTTCTTACAGTTTCTTTCTTGGTGGAGTCAGGAAAATTATGACATGGATATTATGAGTCTTCCAGTTCCACCACCACCAAAGGTAAAAATAAATATATTAAATAAATTGATGTAATAATTGCGTTATGTAAAATTATAGAAACAATTTAAATTACTAAGCAAAATACAATTTTCTGTTTTAATAGGTGTCAAAAGTAGCGCAGCAGTATAAAGGAATTTGTCCGCTTTGTCGCAAGCCTCATCATATACATACCGTGCTTATGATATCTGGGTAAATAGATAATATTTTAATGCCACATGATTTTTTTAAAACTAAATGAATGAATAAAATATTTTTAAGTAAACTAACTTTATGCCTTTTTTTATAGTTATGTATTTTGTTATCAATGTATTTTATCGGAAATACGGATAAAAAAGAAATGTCCAATAACACATTATCCTGCCAAAGAAGATGATTTAATACGTCTGTATATAGAATAATTTATTATGCACGCATGTAATATCTATAATTTTGTATATGTAGAATATACTAAATGTAAATATACTAAATGTAAATATAAAGAATTCAGAGTGTTGAGAAAAGAAGTTGGATTTATTCATTTTATAAACGAATTGTATATTTTAGGAAAACTATTTAATTCTGTCTTTAGTTACATACATGTGCGCGCGCGCATATAAAATGATCATTCCAACACATTGTCAAAACTTGGTTTCGTGACGGAACACCACAAATGTACATATGAAAATAAAATCTCGTTTGAGAAAAATTCTATTTTATTTACTAGCATATGTACAGTTTTCTATCAGAAAATTGTCAAGCTTTGCCAGCGTGTTGAAATGATTATTTTAAGCAAAAGAGTTCATTATTATACATTATGGGTTGATTTCGAGTTTGCAAGATACTGAAATGCTAATGCATCAGGGATGTCATATAAACATACGAAATGTTCGATTTGATTCTTGTAAGATCTCAGAGTACTTGTATTTGTATGAAAAATCACAAGACCAGTTAGTACAGGCAATAACAAAAGCTGCAGGTGGTCCATCATAACATTGCTAATGTTCACTAAAGCAACGGCTTACATTTTACAACATTACAGCATTTGGTGAACAAGGATATTCTACTGAGTGTAAAATATAGTGATTGGTAGTAATATGATTTTTTTAGAAAAAAATATACTTTATATATAACTTTTGTTTATAAAACTTTGTTTATAAAATCAATCAATATATTATCAATCATTATCAATTATATTAAAAAAATATTTTGTATCAAATATTATTATATACATTACCAATATATTATATTAAAAAAATATTTTATATCAATAATTATATCAATAAATCAAATGATTATTACATGGAAATTGGAAAGCTTTCATTACGGAGCCTTGTTTAGTAGAATGTTCATATCTTGGGAACGCAACCGAAGCGACTCATGATGGACTTTTTTGCTTAGAATGATCATTCGAACATGTTGATAAAACTTATCGGTCTATGACGGTACATCTCGTAATTTATATATATATATATATATATAT